GGCGGCGGTCAGCTCCTCGTGCAGCCGCGCCGCCGCCGCGGCGTCGACCCGGGCCAGCGCCTCGGTCTCGTTGGCCGCCACCGCCAGGCGCGTCTTCAGGGCGTGGGCCAGGTCGCCGGCCTGGCGGCGGGCACGGTCGACCATGCGCTGGTTGCTCTCCAGCACCCGGTCCAGCTCGCCGGCCAGCGGCGCCACCTCGGCCGGCCAGCCGCCGCCCAGGGCCGTCGCCTCGCCGCCGGCGATCCGGGCGACCGCCCGGCGCAGACGGTCGAGCGGCTTGAGGCCGGCGGCGACCTGCAGCCAGGCGGCGACGATCAGGCCGGCCGCCAGCACTACGAGCGACACAGCCAGGGTGACGATGGCCGGGCGAGTGATTTCGGTCACCGCCGCCCGATTCGCCGCCACGGCGACGCGCAGGCGCGTGTCCAGCCCGGCCGGCACCACCGCCTGTTCGACCACGATGAGCGGCGCCCCGTCGGGCCCCGCCCCGCCGTGGCGGTGGAGCTGGCCGTCGAGCAGCGTGTCGTCAGGCAGGCGCAGCACCCCGTCCCACAGCGAGCGCGAGCGGGCGACCACGCTGTCCGGCGCGCTCAGCCGCGGCCCGCCGATCTGCCAGTAGCGCCCGGAATAGGGCTGGGCGAAGGCCGGGTCGGCCGGGCGCGGCGCGACCGTCAGCGCACCGTCGGGCGCCACGCCGATCGCCGCCACCAGGCGGTCGAGCTCGGCCTCCAGGCGGTCGTAGACCTGCGCCTCAACCGCGCGGGTCAGCAGCCAGGCGATCAGCAGCCCCGACAGCAGCAGCGCCACGGCGATCCACAGCGCCGCGCCGAGCAGCAGGCGCCGGCGCAGCGAGCCGGTGACCCGCGCCGCCTCGGGCCGCGGTGCCGCGCCCTGCGGCGCGTCGGGGTCAGTCGAAGGCATGGGGGTCCAGGCGGTAGCCCAGGCCGCGCTCGGTGACGATCAGGTCGCGGCCCAGCTTGCGGCGCAGGCGCCCGACGAAGACCTCCAGGGTGTTGCTGTCGCGGTCGAAGTCCTGGGCGTAGACGTGCTCGGTCAGCTCGCTGCGGCTGACCGTGCTGCCGGCGCGGTGCGCCAGGTAGGCCAGCACCTTGTACTCGTGCGCCGTCAGCGGCACCGGCACGCCGTCCCGGGTCACCTGGGCGCTGCGCAGGTCCAGGGTGACCGGCCCGAAGCTCAGCAGGTCGCTCGCCCGCCCGCCGGCGCGTCGCAGCACCGCGCGCAGACGCGCCAGCAGCTCCTCCATGCGAAAGGGCTTGGCCAGGTAGTCGTCGGCGCCGGCGTCGATGCCCTCGACCTTCTCGTGCCAGCCGTCGCGGGCGGTCAGCACCACCACCGGCACGGCGTTGCCCTCGGCCCGCCAGGCCCGCAGGATCGACAGGCCGTCGCGCTGCGGCAGGCCCAGGTCCAGCACCACCGCGTCGTAGGGCTCGGTCTCGCCCAGGAACTTGCCCTCCTCGCCGTCCTCGGCGCGGTCGACCGCGTGGCCGGCCGCCTCCAGCGCCTGGGCGATCTGATGCGCCAGGCGGGCGTCGTCCTCGACCACCAGAATCCTCACTCCGCGCCGCCCCTCTTCAGCATGCGTTCCAGCGACTCGCCCTCCAGCTCCAGCAGTTCGGCCGTCTCGGCATCGAACAGCGCCTCGACCACCCGCCCCTCCGGGCCGAGCAGCGTCAGCTCATAGAACCAGCGGCCGTCGTCGCGCTCCAGCTCGGCCTCGATCATGCGGCCGCGCAGGATCTCTTCGGCCCGCGCCAGGATCTCCGTCAAGGGCAGGATCTCTCCGCGCGCGACGGCGCGCAGCGCGCGTTCGTGGTCGCGCTCGTCCTCGTCGGCCAGCAGGGGCGGACCGCTCACGGACAGCGCGAGGACCGCCGCGAGCAGGCCGGCGAGCAGGGATTTCAGGTGTCGGCGCATGGCCCCAATCTAACGTCGGAAAACCTGAATGCAGCCTGAACGGCGGCTTCAGGCTCGGTTCAGCCGGCCCCTGGCAGTCTCGGCACCGGATCGGACGGCACCCCGCCGTCCCGACCGACAACAAGGAGACGATCCATGACCTTCAAGCGTATCTGGCAGGCCGGTCTCACCGGCGTTCTCGTCGCCGCCACCGCCGGCACCGTGGCAGTCGCCGCCGACAGCCTGAGCGGCCGCGACCTGACCGGCGCGCGCAGCGGGCTGGCCGAGCTCGGCAACGTCGCCGCCGTCCAGCTCGCCAGCGAGGACGAGCGGCCCCTGCGCACCCGCGACAGCGGTCCGCGCATCAGCGTGCAGGAGGCGATTGCCGCCGTCGAGGCCGCCGGCTACTCCGACATCAGCGAGGTCGAGCGCGAGGGCCCCGACTACGAGGTCAAGGCGCGCGACGCCGACGGCCGCCGCTGGGAGCTCTACGTGGACGGCCGCACCGGCGAGATCTACGAGCGCGATCGCGACTGACGGATGACGGACCGGAGGCAAAGGCCATGTCCGCAGCCGTAAACGACCGCAGCGTCGTGGTGTGGGACCCGCTCCTGCGGGTCCTGCACTGGACCCTCGCCGGCAGCGTCGCCGTCGCCTTCCTCTCGGCCGAGGAGGTGATGACCCTGCACATCTGGGCCGGCCTGTCGGCCCTGGGCGTCGTGGCGACCCGCATCGTCTGGGGCCTGCTCGGCCCCCGCACGGCGCGCTTCGGCGACTTCATTCCCACCCCGGCGGAGGTGGTGCGCCACCTCCGCGACCTGCTGCGGCGCCGGGCGGAGCGTCACGGCGGCCACAACCCGGCCGCCGGCGCGATGGCCGTCGCCCTGCTGCTCACCGTCCTGGCCACGGTGTTGACCGGCCTGCTGACCTGGGCCGGCGCGCTCGGCGGCGAGGCCGGGGAGGAAGTGCACGAGGCGCTGTCCAACCTCCTGCTGGTGCTGATCGGCCTGCATGTGGCCGGCGCCCTGCTCGGCTCCCTGGCCGAGCGGCAGAACCTGGTGCGCAGCATGATCACCGGCCGCAAGCGGGTCGACGACTGACCCCGCGGCGGCGAAGGGCGCGCGGCCCGACCGGACATCCCGCCCTTCGTGGCGCGCCACCGCCGTTTCCCGGTGGCGTGCCGCGAAGGGCGCCGGCGGCCGCCCGCTCAGCCCAGCGGCAGCTCCGTGGTGTACTTGATCTCCTCCATGGCGAAGGCGGAGGAGACGTCGCTCAGCTCGATGGCGGCGATCAGCCGCTTGTAGAAGGCGTCGTAGGCGGCGATGTCGGGCACCACCACCTTCAGCAGATAGTCGCTCTCGCCGGCCAGGCGATAGAACTCGGTCACCTCCTCGAAGCTGGACACCGTCCGGGCGAAGGCGTCGAGCCACTCGGCCGTGTGGTGGCGCGTCTTGATGGCGACGAACACGGTGGTGCCCAGCCCCAGCGCCGGGCCGTCGAGCAGCGCCACCCGCCGGCGCAGCACGCCGCCGGCCTCGAGCTGCTTGACCCGCCGCCAGCAGGGCGTCGGCGAGAGACCGACCCGCGCGGCCAGCTCCGTGTTGGACAGGCTGGCGTCGCGCTGCAGCTCCGCCAGGATCTTGCGGTCGGTCGCGTCCATATTTCACCTTATCGCGCTAAATCGGCATAATTTTTTATCAGAACGCCAATCACAGGTAAATTATTCTACCTTACCCCGAATCGACGCCAGTCATTCGCAAACACCTTCCAGCCGGCCGGCGCTAGACTCGCCGTCAGCGTCGAACCGAAGGAAAATCAGGAAGAAAAGGGCGTCGAGCATGCGAGTCTTCACCGAGCACCCCCGCGCCGTGGGGGAGAGCTATGGCACCCACGCGCGCCACGCGGCCGGCTTCGGCCTGGCCATGCTGGCCGGCGGCCTGGCCTGCCTGGTGCATGCGGTGCTGCCCTTCGCCTTCGTGACCACCGGCAGCCGCACGGTCATGGAGCTTTACGCCCGCATGGCGCCGCGCAACGCCCGCGCCACCGGCCGAACGGCGCAGGACCTCCCCAGCCCGCCGCAGCCGGCCGAGTAGCGCCGCGTCCCTGCCTGCCCCGCCTGCCCCGTCGCTGTCACCGGCTGTGCGCTTGACGGAACCGCGGGCAGGGAGTAACGCCCGGGGCCATGCGCACGCTCTATCATCTCCCGCTCGACCCCGGCTGCCGGAAGATCCGGCTCTTGCTGCACGAAAAGGGCGTCGAGGTGGAGCTGAAGGCGGAGAAGACCTGGGAGCGGCGCGAGCAGTTCCTGCGCCTCAATCCGGCCGGCGAGGTGCCGGTGCTGGTGGAGGCGGACGGCAGCATCATCCCCGACGCCTGGGTCCTGGCCGAGTACCTGAACGACGCCTACGCCGAGGTCGGCGACGACCTGATGGGCCAGACGCCGCTCGACCGGGCCGAAGTGCGCCGCCTGGTCGCCTGGTTCGACCGCAAGTTCGCCCGCGAGGTCTCCGACCTGCTGATCGAGGAGAAGGTGATGAAGCGCTTTCTCGGCGTCGGCACCCCCGATTCCTCGGCGATCCGCGCCGCCAACCAGAACATCCACTACCACCTGGACTACATCGGCTGGCTGAGCGACCGGCGGAACTGGCTGGCCGGCGACAACCTCAGCCTGGCCGACTTCGCGGCGGCCGCCCACCTCTCCTGCCTCGACTACCTGGACTGCGTGCCCTGGGACCAGCACGCCGGGGCGCGCGACTGGTACGCGCGGATCAAGTCGCGCCCCTCGATGCGGCCGCTGCTGGCCGACCTGATCCCCGGCTTCCCGCCGCCGGCCCACTACGCCGACCTGGATTTCTGACCGCCGCCGGAACGCGGCGCCGCGGGTCAACCGCCCTGGGCGGGGCCCGGCAGCGGCGCCGGGCCGCCGGTGTTCTCGGTGCGCCAGAGGTTCTCCTTGGCGGCGACGGCGGCCGGGGTGTTGGGGGCGACATCGACCACCGCCTGCCAGTCCTTGCGGGCGCCGCGAATGTCGCCCTCCTGGTAGCGCAGGATGCCCCGCTCCATCAGGGCCTCGGGATGGCTGGGGTCGAGCTCCAGCGCCTGGTTCACGTCCTCCAGCGCCAGGTCGTAAGCCTCGACGAAGCGGTAGGCGGTGGCGCGGTAGACGTAGATCTCCGGCCGTTCGCGGGCCAGGTCGCTGGCCCGGTTGAGGTCGTCGATCGCCTCCCAGAAGCGGTTGAGCCCGGCCAGGGTGATCGAGCGGTCGATCAGCAGCTCCACGTCGTTCGGCGCGAACTCCAGGGCGCGGGTCTGGGCCCGGAAGGCGCGCTCGGCGTCGTCGGCCATCAGCCAGGCCTGGCCGGCCTGGGTCAGCACGCCCGCCTTCATGCGCGTGGGCACCTCGTCGATCAGCCGCTCCAGCATCTCCGCCGCCTCGGCGAAGCGGCCCAGGCGCGCCAGCGCGACCGCACGGCAATGCCGCGCCGGGCCGGCGCCGCCCTGCTCCTCCCAGGTCTTGGCACTGGCCTCCGCCTCGGCCGGGGCGCTGCGCGCCAGCTTCAAGCAGGCGAGGTACTCCTGCTCGGCGTCGATCTGCTGCGCCGCCGCCGGGCGCGGCGGCGCCACGGCCAGCAGCGCCACGGCCAGCAGACAGGCGGCCAGCAGCAGGGCGGCCAGCAGACAGGCGGAGACGGGCAGGCGCAGCATCGCGCCCGAATAGCACACCGCCGCCGGCCTTGGCGAGACGGCTGGCCCACCCCATTGTATCGACCATGAGCGACGCCCCCGACGCCCCAGACGCCTTCGCCCAAGCGACGGCCCAAGCGACGGCCCAAGCCACGGCCCAAGCCACGGCAAAGACGGCCACAGCCGAGACGGCCGCCGCCCCGCGCCTGTTCTGCTTCGGGCTGGGCTACAGCGCCCTGGCGCTGGCCGAGGCCCTGGCCGGGCGCGGCTGGCGGATCGCCGGCACGGTGCGCAGTCCGGACAAGGCCGCAGCCCTGGCGGCGCGCGGCTTCGATAGCTTCGTCTTCGACCGCGGCCGGCCGCTGGCCGACCCGGCGGCGGCGCTGGCCGGCACCACCCACCTGCTCTCCTCCGTGCCGCCGGACGCCGAGGGCGACCCGGTGCTCGACGCCCATGCCGAGGACCTCGGCCGCCTCACCGGCCTGCGCTGGCTCGGCTACCTCTCGACCACCGGCGTCTACGGCGACCGCGATGGCGGCTGGGTCGACGAGACCTCGGCCCTGGCGCCCAGCGGCGCGCGCGGCCGCCGGCGGGTGGCGGCGGAGCGCCAGTGGCTGCACCTGTTCGAGACGCACGGCCTGCCGGTCCACCGCTTCCGCCTGGCCGGCATCTACGGACCCGGTCGCGGCCCTTTCGCCGCCCTGCGCGCCGGCCGCAGCCGACGCATCGCCAAGCCGGGCCAGGTCTTCAGCCGCATCCATGTCGAAGACATCGCCCAGGTGCTGGCCGCCTCCATGGCGCGGCCCGAACCGGGCCGCGTCTACAACCTGTGCGACGACGAGGCGGCCGATCCCGCCGAGGTGACGGCCTTCGCCGCCGCGCTGCTGGGCGTCGCGGCCCCGCCGCTGGTGCCCTTCGACCGGGCCGAATTGAGCGAGATGGCGCGCAGCTTCTACCGGGACAACAAGCGGGTCGCCAACGCCCGCATCAAGCAGGAGCTGGGGGTGCGGCTGCGCTATCCCAGCTACCGCGAGGGCCTACCCGCGATCCTGGCCGCCGAGACGGCCGGGGCGGCGGCGGCCACGGGGGCGGCGGCCACGGGGGCGGCGGCGGACTGAACCGGCCGGCGTCGCAACCGCGCGCCTCGGCCGGGGGCCGGTTGAGGAGCGCGCGAGATGCCCCCCGCGTCGCGGCGCCCCGCCTACCCGCGCAGGCGGGCGGAGATCTCGGCCACCGTGGCGCTGAGGCGCAGCAGGTCGTCCGAGCCGCTGAGGCGGTGGTCGCCGCTCTTGATCAGGTGCACCTCGACATCCGTGGCGGCCAGCCGCTCGGCCAGGCGCAGGGAGACCTGGTAGGGCACGTCGGAATCGGCCATGCCGTGCAGCAGGCGCACCGGGCAGGTCAGCGCGATCTCGCCGCCCATCAGCAGGTGGGAGCGCCCCTCCTCGATCAGTCCCTGGGTGATGGTGTAGGGCTGGTCGCCGTAGGGGCTGGGTTCGCGGTAGACGCCGTCGCGCGCCAGGGTGGCGCGCACCTCGGCGGAAAAGCGCTGCCACATCAGCTCCTCGGTGAAATCCGGCGCGGCGGCGATGCCGACCAGTCCGGCCACCCGCTGCGGCCGCGCCAGGGCGGCCAGCAGCATCAGCCAGCCACCCATGGAGGAGCCGACCAGGATCTGCGGCCCTTCGGTCAGCGCGTCGATGGCGGCCACCGCATCGGCCGCCCAGCGGCCGATCGTGCCCTCCTCGAAGCGGCCCGAGGACTGGCCGTGGCCCAGGTAGTCGAAGCGCAGGAAGGCCTGGCCGCGCGCCCGGCACTGCTCTTCCAGCCAGGTCGCCTTGGTGCCGGTCATGTCGGACATGTAACCGCTCAGGAAGACAACGCCTGGCGCCTCGCCCTCCGTCTTGTGGTAGGCAAGTCGATGGCCGCCGTCGCGCGGCAGGAACTGGGGCTCGGGTGCCTCGCGCATGGCGGCGGCGTCTCCCTCGATCAAGGCGGAAAAGGAACGGTTCGACAGGACGTGGACGAGGTGGAAGGTAGCATCGCGGACCTGACCGGCGAAAGCCGGCGGCCGGTCATCCTGCAAGTGCTGCCGGCGCTGGAGACCGGCGGCGTCGAGCGCGGCACGGTGGACATTGCCGGCGCCATCGCGGCGGCCGGCGGTCGGGCGCTGGTCGCCTCGGCCGGCGGCGCCCTGGAGCGCGCGTTGGAGCGCGTCGGAGGCGAGCACGTCACCCTGCCGCTGGCCAGCAAGAGCCCCTGGCGCATCCGGCGCAACACGGCCCGCCTGGTCGAGGTGATCGAGCGCCACGGCGTCGAGCTGGTGCATGCGCGCAGCCGCGCCCCGGCCTGGTCGGCCCTCTGGGCGGCGCGGCGCAGCGGCCGGCCCTTCGTCACCACGGTGCACGCCCCCTACTCCCTGGGCCTGCCGTTCAAGCGGCTCTACAACTCGGTGATGACGCGCGGCGCGCGGGTGATCTGCATCTCGGAGTTCATCCGGCGCCACGTTCAGGAGACCTACGGCGCCGACCCGGCGCGCCTGCGCCTGGTGCACCGCGGCGTCGACCTGGAGGTCTTCGACCCCGCGCGGGTCTCGCCCGAGCGGGTGATCCAGCTCGCCCGGCGCTGGCGTCTGCCCGACGGTGTGCCGGTGATTATGCTGCCGGGGCGCCTGACCCGCTGGAAGGGCCAGGCCGACCTGCTGCATGCGGCCGCCCGGCTGACGGATCTGGAGTTCGTGGTCGCCCTGGTCGGCGACGACCAGGGGCGCAGCGCCTACCGCGCCGAGCTGGAGGAGCTGATCGCGCGCCTGGACCTGCGCGCCAAGGCGATGATCGCCGGCCCCTGCAACGACATGGCCGCCGCTTACATGCTGAGCGACGTGGTGGTCTCGGCCTCCACCGCGCCGGAGGGCTTCGGCCGCGTGGTCGGCGAGGCGCAGGCCATGGGCCGTCCGGTGGTGGCGAGCGACCACGGCGGCGCGCCGGAGCAGCTCCTGCCCGGCGAGACGGGACTGCTCTATCCGCCCGGCGACATCGACGCCCTGGCCGCGGCCCTGCGCCAGGCCCTGGCGCTGGACGAGGCCGCGCGCGCCGCGCTGGCCGACCAGGCGATCGCACGCGTGCAGGCCGACTTCTCCAAGGCCGCCATGTGTGCGGCCACCCTGGCCGTCTACCGCGAGGTGCTGCAGGAGGCCGAGATGGCGCGCCTGAGCGCCGCCGCCTGAGCGCCGCCGCCTGACCGCCGCCGCCGACTCCGCCGGCCTCGACCGGGCGTCAGGAGACCCGGGGCCGGCACCCCGGCGGCCGCCCCGGGCCGCCCCTCCCCGACGCCGCCGGCCCAGGTGCTCCGGACTGTGCAGCCGGCCCGGATTGGGCCGGCGCCGCGTCCCACCCGATATCGTCGCCGCCGACCGGCACGGGGACCGGCTCCGGCGCGCGGGA